TCCCCCCCCCCCCCCCCTGCAAAAAAGGAGGAACGTTACGTAAAAGGGTCGAAACCAGCTTTGGTCAGAAAAAAATACCAGAATCCGTGAGCTTAAAACGTTTAATACTAATAGGTCATGCAACTTGTGCTTTTCTTCCTCTGAGGTATACTCCATATTTACCTGGCAGCACACTGGTCCCGTTAGGCGCACACTGGGTCTCCGTGGTCACCAGAGCAGGGAATGTCTGCTTCAGGGCAGTGAAAGCAGTCTCTGGGTGGCCACACGTGGCTGTGATCTGCAGACCTGGATATTCAAAGTACAGCCCTACATATTGTTTCTATAATAATATTTACAATTTGAATAGAAAGTACCTGTGGCATGGTGATTGATGTTTGGTAGAAAACCTTAAATACATGTATACAGTTAAAAGTTAAATTATTAAATTATTTTTAATTGAAAAAGACAGTGGATTTATAGAAATTCACAAAGGGACAATAAGATTTAATATTTTTTTATTTTTTTTCATAAGCATAGATTTTTGGTTTGGCGAATGCCATGTTTCCCTACCAAATTTCACGCCAGGTATATAAGTATCGGTGAGTCTTCTTCCATTTAACACGCCGCTGTCTCTGTTTAGAAGTTCAATGGACCATCGCATTGCTTCAAAGGCCTTCGTCCATCGGACTGGTCGAATAACAACATTTAATGCATTATGGTTACAGTTGTGCTTAAGATTTTGGTTAATCGTTTCATATCTACAAGTATATTCCAACATTAAGCTGCAATATACTGTAGATATGAGACGATTTACCAAAAGCTTGACCAAAGCCCTATTTGGCTAAATAGGACACCGACTACTCCCACCCTCCCCACCCCAAGACTAAAACCACGGTTTTCTCTCGACTCTTCTGTACACTTCTGTAAGGATTTTATAATGCTTTTGGTAAATTTTATAGTATTTATGGATTGATCATGGTCATTATAAAATCCGTTGAAGTTGGATATTACGCAATGCGACTGGTGAGACACTGATAGAGATGGCAGTTGATCAAAAAGCGCGTACTGGTAAAATAAGATTGATTTGACAAAGAAAAGGCAGCGAAGGCGAAATCAAAATTTATAATTTGTTCCATATCTTTCGTGAAATGGTCAATTCTCTATTTACCGTCAGGTACTGCACTGCAACCGTAACCTCCTTCTCCAGCTTTGTACAAGGCCATCATGCCGGTGAGAATGACGCTGGCGTTTTGTATCCCAATGGTGGCTGTCGTAAAGGTGGTGTCACAAGCCTCTGTAGCAATCCCCAAGGCTTCTTTGATAAGCATCAAAGAGCCGCATAGAATGATAATTTTGAAGACGTTTGTTCTCATGCTGAATTCCGTCTGTTAAGTAAAAGCACTCAAATACTTGATGTTAACTTTTATAAATTGAGTGAAAATCACTTTTCAAACAACAACAAATACAAATTCTTTCTAATATTGTAACTTTGATTAACATAAATTGTAATAACTAAAATGGCTTCTTTTGGGAATGCAATTAAGCTATTTATAATTCATAATTGTCCGTGACGTGGATTTTAACCTGGCCTACACTGATTTTTAATCTATTTAGATTTCAATCTGGCCTGCAACATGTATACAGTAAACGTCAAGAAGTAAGGTAACTGAATAACATTTCTTTTATATATTTTTACATTATCATTCTTTTCTTTCTAATGGATTCGACTTTAAAAATTCAAATAAGAATAGCAAGTGTCCTATAAACCGTTGGCAGTTAAAGGTGATGGGAGATATTTATGGCTGTTTAATTCGAAAACTTTTGTTGCGTGTCGAATTTTATGCCCCTGATAACTGCGCCTATAAAAGTTAACCTTTCCTGTGTAAGTTGCCATGTCGCGTTTGTTACTAGCATAAGAAATCAAGTCGACTTCATTGAACACTCAACTCCAAATGGAAAACAGCTACTAATATTGTTGGTCTTATTTAAGAGATGCAAGCAATTTTTTCCGCAGAGGCAAGAGAGGTGTGGAATATTTCAGTATTGCATCTTAGTGAAATTTCAATATTATAGGATAATGTTGCTTTTCAGGGCAGTAACTGTATTTTTTTATTAAACTCGCCACTAAAAGATTCCAGTTAACGATAAGAATTGTTACATTGAATAATAAAAGATTTACAAAAGAAATATCTTTAAATGAAGAAGCATTAATGATGCAATTTTTGAGCACCAGTGTGTTTCCTACGAATTTCATGTGCACTTGATATTATACATAATCCCGTTACGCTAACGACCACAGAAGCATTTTTGATGTTATTTATTACGCAATCATTTCTCAAATTATATTTTTTTATCATTTAAAGGAGTCACATAAGAGATGATTTTGATTTCCGACTCAAAATGCCTAATGAATATATTCTCAAGGTCACTCTCTTCCTGTTCATTTGGCTTAGGTGAGTGAATGTTTGAAGCATTTCTTTTGTCCCCAATTTGGCGCAGTGAATCGTTGTTCGGGCAAAATAAAATAGAAAGATCCGATGAAATGAAAATCCCGCCAATAAGACAATAATCACATCACAGGTTACGATATTGCCGGACTTAGGGAGATATGCCTCACAATTTATTTAGTAATAAGCACAGACACTTTTGCAATAAATTCGTGTGCGATTTAATAATCATTTGCTTTAGAATAAGTGAAAAGGTGGATGGGTTTCCAATATATAATTATAAGAGTTCTAGTTATATTGACCTGCGCTAAGGGTGGTACAAAATGTATGAATAAGAACATTAATCATTCAGTTATCATAGGTGACATAGTAAACCATTTGCTACTGTTTTATCTGCAGCGACAAGCAGGGTGAAGTAGCACTTTCTTTTCAGTTTTTTATGACTTGTTGATATATTCTAAGAATGGAAGATGGAAGGAGGAAGGTTTGGAAGTAGGCTGGACACTCTAATGAAACGAAAAAAAAATCCATCTCTCTTCGGGCGGATGAGCTCGTTAGATAGAGCCAACGGCCGTCCACTAACACTTCACGAGAGAGTGGCTCCCCTGGGTTAAATCAACCAAGGAAATAATCTCATCATAATGATGTTGATGTCAACTGCGGTCGATATGATTGATTGATTGATTGATTGATTGAAGAATACACTGAAAATTATATCAAATATACACGTTGCTAATATTGAAAAATCCAAATAGGTAGTCCTAAAAATGCATAAGTCAGTAAAACAAGCTTATTATCTTAACTCTTGCCTCGGGTGTGTGGATTTTTGTGGAATTTTAAAATACAGTGGCTCAGTTTTTTAAAATTAAAATTCACGTACATTTTACATTGACGATTTTACGTCCAATGTGAATTCATATATTTCAATTCCAGCAGCTACAACGTTATAAACAGGTATTAGAGAGTCATGTTGCAACACTGTAAGAACGTGTGCATTTCCAATTACATCAGCATACCTACTTACTGTTGTTGAACTACTATTTATCCTGCAGGGACGACCGCTTCAAAAAGTAATCTTAATTTGGACGCTTTTAGTCATCTGTATTTCGTTCCATGGCTTCCATTTTACATGAAAACATATCAGTCCTAAATAACGGGGCATGAAGGTTACCTGTGTGCATGCTTAAAGTCATTTAATGCATACATTTCACATGGAATGGACTTCCAATGCAAATTGGCTCACAAAGAAATATATGCAGAAGACGCTGGTTTTTAACTTACTCATACAAAGTAGTAGCAAACACATTCGATGTAGTAGGGAATTGTCTCAATTGATATTCAGAAGGGTCACATTCCATTGATTGCATCTAAACATTTTGGAATTACCCAAACACTTACAAGACAGAACGTAGTAAATCAAGAACTGTCATGTTACTCGTAGTTACAATACGAATTTCTAGTGTAACTTGGAGATCTTACATCGTAATACATGGTGTATGTCTTTATGTAGAGAAACACCCAGCGCAATATTACTTCGTATTTATTCTTAGTCCAACATATCCGTATACATTATCATAAAAGAAAGGTCGTGTTTTTGTCATAAGACTGAGTCCAACAAAAATCTTTTCGATATTTATTTTTGTTTTCAGCACATTATCCTTTTCTTACCCTTTCCAATTGTATCATCAAGTTATTAAATATATAATTAGTCAATTCAGGAGAGCATTTCAACAGCAAGTTAATAGTCCTCATTTTGCAGGTATCGATGTGTAAATAACACTCTCAGTTGATAAGCAGATGCGCCTGCCACTTCGGCCATTTTATAATATAACGGCTTACGTCGTGTTTGCATAACTAGTCACCTAGCTTCAACAAAAAAGTGCTGTGACGCACATTATCCCAGCAGAAGTGTGCGTCCAGCAAGAGACAGCAGAAGAACATAACTGGTCACAGAATAGATGGACTGCCCATCGTTTACGCTTACAACCATCTTGGACACAACGCGGCCGTTAAGGACTTGGGGAGGACGAAAATTATCCACCATGCGCTCTTTGGGCGTTCCTTCGAAGTACGGATTTTTACGCAGCTGATCAAGCTGAAATTGTTTAGAAAAATGCAGGGCATTGATGGCTATCTATGATACAATTAAAATATTACTTTTCAGTTAGTGAAGGTACATGTATAAACAAAGGGTATCCTTATCAGTACCATTTACTGCAATGGGGTTTAGAATTGATCTATATGATAAAACGCATTTAAACTTGTTAGTTGTATCAATTACACCTAATGTACTAATTTACCTGCGATTCTGATATCCCCACCGTTTCTGGAAACACAGACCATAAAATGGACTCGTAGCAGGCCGGGGTGGTCAAGCTGCCATGGTAGCGGTAGTATGTTTTATTACTGGGTAACAGGTTCGATAAGGGGACAACTGGACAACTAATACTGGTACCTGTTGCCAAATTATATATATATATATATATATATATATATATATATATATATATATATATATATATATATATATATATATATATAAGCAAACTGGATTTAATGTTGATTCTGGAATTATTAGGAATTTTAAGGACTTGGTGAACTAACAATTTCAACTCTACATTATTTAAATCAATTTGTTGTAATCAAAACCTCCTTTTTCTTTAAATAGCCTTTTATATTTTATATTTACGTCTAAAGTCTGAATTTAAGACTTTTAATAAATCTTTTCACTATTACTGTTGTTATTATTATTATTATTACCCTAAATGATACCAGATATTGGTAGGCCTATATATGAGCAAGTAAAAAATATGCTCCTCGATCTTTGTATAATTGCATTTGTTCATAATAAAAAAAGTAATACTCTGCACACCTGACTCAGTGATGTTTGGAAGTAGATCCAAAATAGGTTTTAGGTTCGTGTTGTCTTCAGACTGCACCTGCAATCAGAACCAGCGCAATCACACTTGCAATCTCAACTACTGCAATAGTAGCAGAACTGAATTCCAATAGTTTAGCTGGCTACACCATATGATTGTCTACCAAGTTGTACTGGTAATTACTTAAACTCATGCATCGCATTTTTATTCGCCTTTAAAGCTGCGGCGCCAATCGCAATTGTACTGTTGAGAATGGAAACCGTGGTAAAATAGACGTTTTACATATCAACTGATTTTTTTATATACACATGTTTATTTCAATAACCAAATGCCTTAATTTTTTGCAAAACACTGCATTGTGAAAGTAGCCCATACTTACTGAAAAAAGAAGTCCTAAAACAGCCAGGCCGTCAGATTTATTTTGCGCCGTGTTGAAGTCGGCATACTTCGTCGAGTAATGAACAAAGTGCATCTGTCAAGCAGAAAGCGAACATTAAAAAAGGCTAAGCACTATTGAGCATACAGTAGGTACCGTATACTCCGAGAAGGTTTCGTAGATATATCACAGGGTAGTGTTTATATGGTGTACACCATAAACAATTATGGAGATTGTTCGTGAGGGCAGACTAAATCTTATATATATATGTATGGTATGTACACACCTCTAGTGGATACTGATCCCCGTCGATGAAGTGTTCAGAACCTTTGCTACTCGAATTCCCCCAATGCATGTGGAACTGCACCAGTTTGTACGGCTTGCTGAAAGCCTTGCTGCTAATGGAATAGTTTCCGGGGCCTATTTCCACTTGAACTGAAATGAATTTCAAACATAACATGTACATCACCTTTATATTAAATTCAGTGTGAATAGCCTTTATCTTTAGGCCCTATAACGTTTCACATTTATTCAACAGCATTATTTTCCACAGCATATTTTGTATTTTGGGCATTTAAACGCCTACAATCTGGAGTTACACTTTGATAATTTTGGTCTGAATTGTACCAAATAAAATAGTTTACAGAACTAAGGGATGTCAGGCTAAGTGCATCACACCAGCTACTACTCATAAAAAGGTTTTTGTTGCCCATAGCACATAAATAACCCACCACCAAGAATGGAAACAGTGAGAGTTTATTGGTAATAAGCATACAGCGTGGAGTACCAAAGCGCACTAGACACGCTGTATTAAAGATTCATTTGAAGTCAATTTGTGTCACAATAGCCAACCAAATGCTAACATATAGTTTCAGACAGTGTTACTTAGAGCAATATCAAATGATATCGTTTCAAATTTGTTATAAATTTGACTAAATGGTATAAAATGTGCATATTCACACCACTATTTTGTATTTTTTTAACCATTAATCATATTAGACATGGTATCTAGAATAAAAAGCACCGTTTATAACAATATACACCTGTAAGGTGATCATTTGTAAATACAAATACATGGAAATGGGGGTGGGACAACCTTTTTGACCAATGTTGTACATGTACCGCGTAAAATACATGTATACGTGTACGTAGGCCTGTAGGTCAACGCCCCCACACTACAAATTATTATTATATCACCGAAACGGGTATACACTACTGGTTGAGCACCAGACCCTATGTTTTGCAGTGATATGATAATCAAAATATCACTGTACTAAAATTTTGAAACGTTTAGGGAAAAGAGGAACTGCAATATTCCAATGTATGCAAATTACTTCCAACTCCATAATACAGTGTGCGTTGCTACATGGAGTAATGATTTTAGAGTCTATGGAAGTACGGGGGGGGGGGGGGTTTATTTCTACCCATGTATTTATTCGTTTAACCAATCCTTTACTTATTTGTAAAAGCTGCAGAATTCAAGTGAACTAACATTCAAAAAGTAGCATACAACTAGGGACAATTAAATTTTATTTATAATTTGATATTTTTTAACTGTGCGTGATAACTGTTTACAAACAAAGTGATCTTTGTTACCTGAGTGCCCGTTGTTTTTAAGCGTCCATCGTCCGTTAGTTTGATCATATCCCGAAAAAGCTATGTTATCTAAATCCTTGTCTTCTTTCACGTCTTCTGTTTTGATGTCAATTGGAGACTGGTGGCTCCTCCCACAGGCTACATATCCTGGTAGATCCTTCCAGTGTGCAGGACCTAAGTTACCATCAAAAGAAACTTAAATAAGCATCAACACGGTTGTGCTACAGCACGGCGTTTTGCAGTCGAAAATTGTTATAAAGGTGTGGTTTCAGTGTTTACTGTAATAGTGTTCACATTTTGATTCTTTAAAATGCACAAAAGAAACATAGTTTTAACGATTGGAAATTCTGAGGAGACACAACCGAACAGTTAATCTTTGATAAAATTTGTTGAGAGGCACAGGTGAGGGCCCTTCCGTGAAAAAGTAAACATTTGAGTCACGTCAGTAGCGCACACATTTTGTCAAAAATCATTTGTTTTATATCACGTTTTATTCACTGTTGATTTACTGTTTTATTTCGGTATTCGAGGTTATTAGAGTGTTAACTGCAAAACAACAGGACAAGTCAAAAATTATACAAAATGTGTGCGTCACTGACGTTTCTTTCCTTCAATCCACTCGAATGTTCATTTTTTGTGGAATTACCCAAAATATTATGTTCCTGATATTTGGACAGTAACATCAAACTTATCAAACAAATAGAGATTTAATTGTGTCAAAGTTTATTACCAACCATGAGATCCACTTCCATAGGTCCATTCTGAAATCGAAAAGAAAAAAAATTAAATTGTTGGTTAAAATCAAAACTTAGAGAAAAGCTGTCTTACTATTGAGAGAGAGGGGGGAGGGAGGGAGAGATTGTTAGAATATGGCATGGCAGGCATTGATAGCTGTGTTTCGCTGGTCAGTCCAGCAATAAACGTCCCATATCGCCTCCAACGCGACGGCAGCAAAATCACAGAGCAGTGTCTTTAACTTCCTGGTCCAGATGATAAGTAACCACAACACCCCACATATTGTATGAAGGCTGAATTATTATGGGAAAAGCAAATATCATCCGGGCAAATACCATTAATCTGTTTCGCTTTTATCCTCTGACTGAAATCAGTGTAGGTGAATTGTTTTCTTCTCTCTCGGCCTGCTGAAGTCAGAACGGGGATATGTCTGACAAAACTGTACTAAATAAACGTATAATGTATATACCGATACCTTGAACCTAATAGCGTTGCTACTTTCTAAATATTTTCTAGGTGCAAAAGGGCTTGTTCTACTCCACCCCCGTTTCTTTCCTTCAATATAGTCCGACAATATTAGGTAAGAGTTCACCTTACTACACCGTTTCAAAAACTAACGCATACCAGATCCAACCGATTCTTATGTTAGGTTTGAATGAAAACAAACACGTGCCACGGTGCCAGATATCTTTGATTTAATTTTTGAACATGGATAATCCTATATTTCCAAGTTTTGTTCACATATCCGTTTTAAGCCGTAGGCATAGCAGATTAACATAAAACTAAAATTTTTCTCCATTATAACCACTATTATCAGCCTAGTCGTAGTGTGTGTTATTCGTTACTGAAAAAAGAAAGTTTTTCAAGGACTTGTTGGGGGATATACGCATACATATTTAGTAACGAAAATGGTTACTATTTCCTCTGAGATATTTCAGAGATCTCCTATAAAAAGATTCTATTATTATTTATAATAATAATTATAATAATAATAATAATTATTATTATTATTATTATTATGTCTTGACCTGTAACGGTTTTTGAAAGGCATGCAAGACAGTACTACCTGTAGAATAGAGACATTCTGCATTGCTTAGACTAGTGACAGGGGAGAAAGTAGCACAGGACGCTTTTTATGGAACAGTTTATTAACGATTTTAGATAAGCAAATCTGGATAAACTTAGCCACCTATACAGTCAGGACAAATGTGTCAAATCAAAATGAACATGCAATTCATTTCTTGGGTTTTCCGCCCAATGCAGTCCTCTATCATAGGCCTGAAAAGGGAAATAATTATCAGTATTATAAATCATAAAAAGAATAATTGAATTAATAAATGCATTCACAAAGCAGCATACGGAGATGTTAGGACAATTTTCGCTTTTTTATGCTCACTACAGTGTATAATTCACATATATCCATCCAGTCATCCATTAATTCATTTATTCATTCATTAATTAATTCATTTATTCATTCCAGTACCAATCACTGATATGGTGTGCGACCTGTAGACCTGCCTAGAACGATTAGAAAAGGGCGATTTTGGTGCGGTTGCCACACATACCTGAAATATCTAGCCAGCTTGTATACAGACGAGACATATTGTGTAATCTTTTTCAGACATATGTTGCTGTCGTAATCTATACCAATTGTGGCGTTTTAAAAATAAGTCAAGTGCTGATAAAGACCACCACCATTGTCAGGTAGAACCTCACACCATTTTATACACAGATGGTTATATGTATAATGAACGTGAACTGAGCATTGCCTGCATAACGTCATAGCACAAGAAGGGGACAGAAATCAACCTTGACCTCCAGTGGCGATTGGACATTACACAAATCGAATTCCAATCACTTTCGTCAAATAGCTACTGTCTTCATCATTAACAATCCCAGACGTATTTCTCTCAACGATGTGTTCAGTAGTAACTGGACAAGAATTTCTATGAAAGTACTAAATATTACGCGATACTTGATGTCATCCTGGCTCAACTAGATTTTTACACATAACTGAGCTCATGTTCAAAACTGATCGTCTCGGTTACACCAGCCAGTAGAGCAGCTTTTTACTACGTAGCGCAGACTTTTCTCAATAAATAGGCCTATCGCTATCACATACCAATATATACAAAATAACATTATAGACACTTGTCTCTGGGATTCTTACCTGCTCCCTCTCCACGAACACTGCACAGCAGAGCAGCAAAAATCAAAACCTGTACAACGGTTTCCATTTTAATTTCACTCTGACGATGTTGCATATCACAGCTTTATTATTGTACATGTGTTCGAACTGAAATTGATAGGACTCTCCGTTGGGGTGTTATCTCGTGGCTTATCAAATTTTACACAGTCGTATCTACCTTAGCTGTTAGCTCAACCCATCACGGGATCAGTAGCTATTTCTGTAATGTATCAGTAGTAATTATAAATAGGGCTCATTGTGGTTTGTGTGTGTGTGTGAGGGGGGGGGAGGGATTACAGAATTAATCCTTACACTGACACCATCTCGAAATATAAACATTCATTTACGAAAACCACAAGTCATGTGATCTTGGAGATCAACAATTTTTGGTAGGGCCTACGTTTGCCACTCAAGTAACATTCTGAAGAGGCTCGGTCAAATATTAGTATATCAGTTTTAAGTCTGCCAAAAAAGTGCTTAAAGATTAATTTATTTCATATCTCTCTTGATGGGGTCTTGCCTAAAATGCCCTGAACATTGAACCTGTTGCTTTGAGTAGTGGGCAGGTTAAAAATACCTGTTCTCATGTTTTATAAAGCAAGTCCCTCATTTTTTGTAATTGCCTTTTCAACTGGCAATGAAATGGTCAGTGCAAGGGGCAACTTGAAACTTTTGATCCATCAATAAAGACTCTTATTCTCTTCTATTATTCTCCTGCCTTCACTCTAATCAGCGATTGATATAAAAAGCATTGAATAAACGTTCTTTTGATGAAAATTCATAAGTTTGACACATTTGTTTTTGGGCTATAGGTACAACGCATAAGTTGTACCTATAATTTGAATTCTTTGTAAGATAACAAAAACCAATGACAATCTATTAAACTCTCGATGATCGATATCGTTGCGGAGTTAAACAATAAAATAAATGACGATACAAAAAGAGCGTCGAGCTCGGAGGCTCCGTTCAGGCTCCGGTCAGGATACCCCCTTATGTAACAGCAAGGCTATTGAGTTTTTTACCCTACCCCCCCCCCCCCAAAAAAAAAAAAAAAAAAAAAAAAAAAATTCATTGGCATGAAATGCATGACTGTGAACTGTACTACGCCTGCGTTTCATGTTGTCGACAACTGCTGTGTTATTTATTTATTCATTTATTTATTTATTTATTTATTTATTTATTTTCCAAACGTCCATGTCTCAAAAACGCACTGCACACACATTTTGGTTTCATTTGAATTTTTAACAAATTTTCGGCTTGAATAACTCATGTGTTGCCGTTTAATAATTTATTCTGAATCTTATATTTTATTAATCATCCCTCATTTTTCATAAATTTCGAATTTAATTCTTTTAGTTCGTCTAAGCATAAACTCTGCGCTCGCATAATGACGACTGATTTGCGTTGCCGGTGTTAAGAGTATATGTAGCAGAGTGTTCGCCCTCCCTTAGATTTATACAGGTTAGGGGCAGCGTATCTTTGGTGGGCCAAAATCTAGGAAATGAATAAGCTAATGGGAACAGGACCTGTTTCACATGCCACCGGTCCTGCCTGGCGGTGATCTGTTGCACATGTAGGTGGGACATAAGAGTGCGAGGACTGCGGTTTACGTATAATGACCTTCCACTGAAACGCCGATGAAAAATATAAGTAAAAAGGGTGTATTTATTTAATAAAAATGACGACGAGCTAGTGATTCATTGGATAGTGACTTGTGTTTTTAAGTAGGAATATCAATTCACTGACTTGAACCTGAAAATAAACTGAAAGCCTTGCCATGTCAACTTTCCCAGCTTTCCTGGACAGTGGACTGGTCCAAAGCACTGGCTCGAATAGAAGTAGGTGGTCAACGTGAGCAGTGGTCAAGCAATGCCCTTTTTGCAGATGTCACATGCATAGACAACCAACGAAGAGGGGGCTTGTGCTTCTCTCGATTTCTTTCGTGAAGAACAGAGGATAACAGAGGTATACGCTTCTAGAAAAGATTGTTGCGTGTCTGTGCCAGCAATAGAAATGGGGGTAACGGGGTCTATATATATATCGATGGATCATCTTCTACTTCATCCATTCTCCTAACCTAGCTCTTGCTTGTATCTTTTAACATGCGCACGTATGGTATCACGCAATGCATGTATCCCCGGTATATACATGTACTACATGTAACTCAGGCCCGTAGCCAGCAATTTTAGAGGGGGGGTCGTTTTCTGAAAAAGTGGACCTTTTACCATAAAATCCTCAAGTACATAGATCAAATTGTACCCAGAGTGGACCTTTTCCCAGCAAAAAGCGCGGTTCTTTCGAACCCCCCGAACCCCCCCTGGCTACGGGCCTGTAACTGCACACTTTATACTGCACTTTATGGGTAACACCTTAGTGCCTGAAAACCCCCTTCCAAACTGTTGAATGTTTTTGTGTTATTTTTAGATTTAACTTCATCCGTGTGTCTCTTCATCAAGAATGAAACAGCTGTACGGTGTAGTGGCATTGCTTGCAGTTCTCTGTTTGAATGGAATTCACAGTAAGCAATTGAAGGAAGAACAGGTGCAAATCCATGAAGACGGTGAAAGAGCATTTAAAAAACGAATTGTGGCTAACACTCGCAGTCTACTGCAACAAGCAGGACGTATCAAAGTGTTGAAGGAAACCGGAAAAGGTAGGACCTTCTACTGAATTACTCGTGTATAATTAGATATGGGCTTTAAACAAAGCCACCTGACTAATCTTAAATGGTTCAGTTACATGCGTCGTTGTCACATTTTTTGTGTATATTAGTATACTCGAAACCCAATGAAACTATCGTTCTACCTCGGCCGATCCAACTCCGCGAGGACTATCGCTTAAGGCACTCAGAATAGCAGATAAACACGCCTGTTAAACTGATTGCATTCAACGTGAGTCCCCGCAGAGTTGGATCGATCTGCATAGAACGATAATTTCACTGGGAAAGAGCCCCAATGCCAAGGCAAGTTAAGGCAAGACTGCACGAAGATTGCTGTGATTCTGTGTACATTTTACATTCTAGCGCGCCTTATAAAGGCAAATAAGGGATATGGGGTACGCAACCAGTACGTTATTCGATTGAAGGAAGGACTAACCGATAAACAAGGTACTGATACCTCTAACGTATGATTTTTTATTTTAACAGTGGGGTCGATTGGGGCCTATTTCTATGTACGCTAATAATAATAACAGTAATAATAACTCGATGTAAAGAATGACTTGGGACAAGAGAAGTATTTTAATTCTGTTCTCTTCCTATATCTGTCTGAGATGTGAGTATTTATGCTTAGTGTCTTTTTTTAATCAGAAGACAAGGAAGATAAATGACACAGTCGTTGTCTTTCAACTATAAAAGCGATTTTGGGTACGATACAAATAAGTTCGATTTGTTTTCTAGGTGTCATCAAATAGAACCCTCGCTCCCATTGAGAAAACGAGTGAAAGCTGATGCAATTTTGCTTTTTTTTTTCAAAATTACCTCGCTATTTTATTTGCTTACCAGCTAGCTTTACTGTTTTTATCTCATTAGTTGCACGGTTTCTGGAGACGATTCCGCGGTACAAAGGCGACCACATTAAATTTAACAGTGAAACAGACATAGTAATGGTGAAGCTTACAGAAAGGTAAGTCCACGTGCAAAACCCAAACAGTGTTTGTGGTGCCAATTCTTCTAAATCTAGGGAGTATAATCACATGAACAAGCTAGGGCTTCTTTTCACCCTAACAGGAGTTATCCTGTACTGTAAAGACAGTGCAGCTAAGGTCCAAAATAAAACGACGACGCATGTGTTAAATTTCATTTTTGTAATGCACTTTCCATCTTTTGTAGCGAGGTGGAAGAAGTAAGAAAGAACACAGATATTATTGAAGAAATCGAGCAAGATGTTATAGTGAAAGTTAATGACGATTTTAGTAGCTGTCATGAATACAACGTACTTGACTTATATGGACTGTGGGTGAGTACAACTAAGAAAGATGGTGTGTTTTGTTTAAAAATCTGTAGCTTGCTTTTTACTTTATTTATTTAGTTTCATTTTAAAGCAGAATATACCTCTCGTATTCTTACAAGTTGGGCGCTTTCCCCTCGATTTACACACCTGCATCATGCCTCTTTCAAAACTTAAAAGGCTCAGAAAGGATTTTAGCCGTCCTTAGCACGGAAGCAGTCTTAAATACTGGTGAGTTTTGTAGCCTCTTTCAGTTTCAAAATGTTTGAGATATACAAGTAGTAAATATTCAATGACACCGTGCAAAATATGATCAAATATTTTATTTTAAATCATTACAACATTTACAAAACATCATCATTTTCATTCTCAATAATCATCAATATCTGGGATGCATCCACTGTTCACATACACGTATTCACAGCTCATGCAGAGGCACGATTGACTACATGGTAACTTTTTTCGCCTTCTGGATCCCCGTATTGACCTTTCACTTTCCTTATAGGGAATGATGAACGTCATACCGATTGATATAAATGACATTTAATTACCAAAAAGTCAAAATGTCAACTGTAAATTAATCTATAATTGATATCAAATTAACTAATAGATGCGTGTCGCACATGATAAATATTACATAAAGGGATTTTTTTTTATATTTTCACAAAAATTCAGTTTATCATTCAATATGTAAATCGATGAAATGGGTGTAATTTATAGTCATAAGTGATAAATATAGTACTCGTGCACATCTATTTTCCGTTGGATTTTTTAAATACAAGCTCAAGTAGTAAAGAACATTAAGAAACCGAAATACCTACTTTCACCCCAAAGCCACCGATATGAAATCATCAGAATAATGACCATAGTATTTTTGAAGACAAATAATATTAATGGACAAATGATAATATTATAACCACCGATTTTATGTAGAGTCGTTTTTCAGCCTGATTTTGGCTTACATGGTATAAAGCTCTGCCTCTTCTAAGCAATAACTACACGTGAACGGTGAAATAGGTCACAATCTTGGTGGACCACGCATACGCACTTTTAGGATATACATATATATCCTAAAAGACCTTTTCCCGGACCTTTTGTCGGCAAAAATTCGGCTTATTTCGAATTTATGTAATATATATAATATTTCGTTACTTTTTTTTTCAGGGCTTGGACAGAGTTGACAAAATCCGAGATGACAATCGCCTGCTAAGCTGGGGTAACGGCAGTGGAATAGATGTCTATATTATTGACACTGGAATAAGACCCAGTCATGAGTGTTTTGCAGGAGGGAGAGTGACACTTGGCTTTCCCGACACTTCAGAAACGGCCGCCATTGACGACCATGGTCACGGCACTCATGTCGCGGGCACAGTTGGTTGTTCAAAGTACGGAATTGCTAAAGAAGTTCACCTGATCGCTGTGAAGGTATTAGATGGCAACGGAAGCGGTACTTCCCAGGGCGTTCTAAATGGAATGTACTGGGTGCTTGAGCAGGTGCGTGCTAGAAAGCGCACATCTGTGGTGAATATGTCCTTAGGCGGAGGCTACAGCACTGCGTCGAACGACGCCGTTGCAGCCTTGGTTGATGAAGGTATCCCTGTCGTCGTCGCTGCAGGAAACGATAATGAAGACGCCTGTCTCAGTTCCCCATCCAGTGCCCCCAAAGCAATTACAGTAGGTGCAACCACCTCGTCTGATTCCAGGGCGGATTTTTCCAACTATGGCCGTTGTGTAGACATATATGCCCCCGGAGACCGTATTCTCTCAGCAACTAATAAAACCGACACTTCCACTGCGGTTCAGAGTGGCACATCTATGGCGTCTCCTTTAGTCGCTGGGGCGGTTGCGGCACTGGGATCGGTGTTCGTTGCAGAGGGTTACTTCCAGGAAAATACCCCTGCGTTTGAACGATTGGTGAATCATTATTTGATGTATTTTGCCGTAACCACACCTGGGGAAAACCACCGCTTGCTACATGTTGAATGTTTATCATCTTCTTGAATGTTAATCTTCGACTGCTAGATAAAATTCCACTCTCGTAACCTGTAATTAGTTTCATTCAAATGTTAAGTGCTGTAGTTTATTGTACCATCAGCGTAGGCGCTGGCGGTACACTTGGTTTTAGTCCCGATCCGTCTCGTCCGCCGTATCCGCTGCCATGTCACCGTTACTGCGTCTTCTCCTAGACTACAAGAACCTGCATGTTGGTGCACGGGTTTAGGTGTGGCGCTCGTCGCAATGCACCCTTGTCCAAAATTTGGATTGGAACTTTTACTTTTCCCCATGATTTTGTCATATAGTGTAATTTTCAACAAAAAACTGAAAACTCTTTACTGCATTTTGTAGAGCTTGTCCAGCACAGCACTGGAGGCGCGGCAGTGTATCTTTTTGTTTTGTTTTGTTTTGTTTTCCATACGAATGCGCTTACTCCTGTTGTTGGTACAATACCCGAAAGCGGTATCGCCTCTCTGATTCTCTAGTTTACCTCTTTATTTTGAACTCTATAGCTAGCTGATTTAGTACAAATTGTTTGAAATGGCAGATGCTATTATATAAATGAGTGTGTACCACTGCAGACTTGCGTCACTTTCTCTTTGTTGGTGTTCTAACTTTGTATTTTTTAAAAATCTTTTTGTAATGTATCATATCACATTTTCTTGATGGCCACGCACGGTCATTCCTATTTCTCCTTGCACCCTTTGAATTGAAGTAACAGTGGTGAATGTTGTAGGCAGATTTGTCACTTTCAAAAGAATAAGAAGTGAATAAATTAAAAAAACAGATAAACGATATAATTATAAGGATACTTCCTTGGCGTTTTCTATTTTTTCACAACTTTTCGATTTCCATTCCGTTAAATTAATGTCACTTGAAGCAGTTATAAGATTGCAGTCGGATCGAGTAAAATATTCGGGTATTAGTGATAGATAGATACTCCAAAGTATTTCGATGACGAACTACCCTCCACCAGGGCCATATACTGATTTTTCACTAGATATTCACATATTTGCATGAATATCCAAAATGGAAAATACGATTGTGATTTCAGATTAAACTTTATTTTGCCTTAAATTGTGCTGATAATACGACAGATCAACCCCAGGCCAACCGGAAAATTTGAATCACGAGTCTTAAATTGATCGGATTCCCTTGCCTATTGTTCAGAAAGCTATAATTAAGAGATTATTCTATNGTATGTTCTATGACTGATTAAATGTTCTCCGTCATCCATTAGTAGTCCTCAAGGTATATATATAACTTAATCAAATTCTGAAACTTATAATGTTATGTACCAATGTCTCTGAAATCTTTCACAAGAAACCGATTCCCATGCGCTGGTCAAGTGAGGCACTGGGGACGATTCCAAGGCGTGTGGTTCAAGTGACCAGCTCGTCAAGATCGATATTTTTGAAAGACCTTGGGTTGAATTCACAACTAAATTCGTTACACAGTAACTCACAATATCTAATTTTCTTATATTTCTTATTTGGATCTTTCTAAAAAATCAACTTACCCATAAAGCGCTCTGAACTTGACTGGTAACGCAATCATCAACAGCATGGACTACGTTGTTTTGTTCGATTTCCTTGATTAAATCGGTATAGTCTCTTAGGGAATCCAATTCTCTGTAATGTACACAAATAATCAAAATAGTTAACATTAAATACACACACACACACACACACACACACACACAGAGTGTTTTTCAAAGAATATACTATAAGCGATCTCATGTCAGAGGTTTGGCTACCCGTGTAACATCATTGCCACTTTGTCTCTTAGGGAATCCAATGGTCTGTAATGTATACAAATAATCAAATTAGCTTACATTGAACACACGCGCGGCACACACACACATACACACACACACCTCAGTAAAATCTATAATAGATACAATGTACTCTGTTTTTAAAAGATATAATATAAGTTATCTCATCTCATGTCAGAGGTTTAGCTACCCGCGTATCATTTACTGCCACTTACTCTTCTTCGACATCGTCAATTAGAACAAAGTTCGTTTTGGAGCTGAATTTCACCCGCTTGGAGTTGCCTCTCAAACCACTCCTTTTTAACATCTGTTTTACTGGAAGATGCAAAGTAATTGCAAAGTTAAACAACTGTATTAAGAAGACCTGAAGTTACTATATTAAAAATTGAAATATTTTACATCCATACGTACGATGAACATGTTGTGAGTATTTCCCCCCGCTGTGCATCAATAAAAAACGACATGGTAGCACATTTTTTGTTTTTATTCAAATACATATCATTAAAATCTACCGGAAGTCCTTCCATTTTGAGCCGCCATTTTAAACCTATTCAATCCCAGAATGAAGGGTATCTCAGGCGACTGAAGTTAACCATCATGCCAGTTATACGAATAAGCGCAAGATAGGCATCTAAATGCAAATAAATTTTTCTCAAGCCCCCAATGCCAAAAAAAGTTTTAGAAAAAACGAATGAAATCATTGCCCAGGAAGAAAAAGCGCATCGATAATTCTTTCTTGAGAAAAATACAGGGAGGATGTGCCATAAACTTTCTCACGTATACGATGATTGGGGCTTGCAACCTCTACCAGGGCTGCAGTTATCATTATGTGGACATTTGCGCTGAGGCGTAGAGAGAATAACCGTGACCTTTGCCAGAGACATATCTGTGAATATCTGGTGAGAAATCAGTCTGTGCCCCCGATGGGTAGGGGCTTGCCTGGTCATCTCAGCTGGTAATTATATAAGCTGCTTTGTGTTAAACTGACAAGCAAGTTCTAGCGCATGTCTAATTACTAGCTACCGTTCATATAATCATACCTGCCGGTATGCTTATCAACAGAATCGACACGACTTGCATGTGCTAATTAGTGACTTTTAAGAAATGTTCGTGGAATTGCAGCCGTACCAGGGGTTATCTTAGAGAGGGGTGAGAAAGTGACATAGTTCTCATTAGATCGGCTAACCATTTTCAGGGTATGTACGCACAGAAAGAAAAATCGTGAATTGTAGGAACGTTACTGAAGAAGCCACAGGGAGTCTTAGTATATGTTAGTCCGAGGTCTTGAATAATATCTTCCTTGACGACTTAACATTTGTCAAAGACAAAAAGACCCAGGTGTGGTGGATCGACTTACTGCTGTTCATGCGTGGCGCAGAAGACAAGCCCTAATTGACCATGAAGGTCACAAACCAATATCGAGAAATGACGGTTTAGTCATAAAGGTAATACGTTTCCACCCTCTGGTCGTACGCTACAAAAAACGACATCTTACTTTTATAAAATTGCGCAAAAGGCTGCAAATTAAAGCTGCGTGACGTCTTGGCAAAAATTAGTGATAAGATGTGATTGGTTGATAATTTTAGAGAACGATCACACGGTATAAAATTAAAGCGTTGACCATGGATAAGAAAACCACGCTTTAATTTCTTAATAGTATTTATTTTATCCATTATACAAACTGACCTTGAATTGGGAAGACTATTCACTTCGCACATAAGTCAACGTATTATAACCATTAATGATTTTATATCTAATGCTATCATGATTTTTTAATCAGCACTGGAAACTTACCTCCCTTATTCGAAACGTTTTCCTTAAGCGTGACGATGTATGACTTTGGAACTCCCTCCCCTTGTGCTCCGGCTTTCACAAGACGGACTGAAATAATGACGTGGTTACGGGTTTATCGCCATTACTTTTGTATATGTGGCTTTTAATGGTTTTAACTGAATCATAACCAAGTAGCAATATCACCGACAAGTCATGGCGCAGACATAATATCGTGAGAGCTATATTACACATTTACTAAAATAACTTTCCTGTTCATAACGACCAAGTCAATAAGTATGTTTTAATTGCACTTAATGATACGGTAAAGTCATCTTTGAAAGCGTGAAAATACTGTGTGTTACCTTTTCCACTTCGCTCATCCACCACTAGCTTGCCTTGCTTAGACAATTCCTTGCGTATCAAGTGGTCTCTCTCGTCATCGGACAGACCTTTGTCTAATTGGAGACCACCTTGTTTCTTTTCATCTCCCTCTAATTTCCCTGATTCTTTTGGATCTTTTTCTTGTCCATCATCTTCTTCAGAAGTTTTAAAAGGAATCTTTTTTTCATCTTTTTCTGGTACAGAGGGTGCTACTGCAGGTGATGGTTTATCTCCAGCTTTATTTTTTGCACCGTAAACGACAGCGACCACGGCCAGTGCTGCCAATATAGCGAAAGAGGTCTTCATATTTTTCTGTGGTTTGAAGACCTTGAAAAAACATACGAAAACCGATTCAGCTTTATTTTCACTTCCACAAAAAAAATAAAATAAAATAAATAAAAAAAAAACGATTCAGCATTCTTATCAATTCAGTTTCTCTTTCTTTTGTTTTGTGAAAAATAAAACATGCCTGCATCAGTGGCAGTGACTACTCAAATTCTATCTACAGATAGAATACCAAAAAGTAAAAAGAACTGTACCCGTATGTATATTTATGTTTGTTCAGTAAAGGCCCCTTTACACTGGACGGCGTCCTTTCTGCGTCCAGCAGTACGGACCCATTTGAGAGTTAAAAAATTATAATACTTTTTGTGAAGACAACTGGCCGATCATTGAGCATTCATTCTGATACAAAATCAATGCTCGTGCCTCCTTATTAAGACCACAGCTAAGCCAAATTTCATGGTCGCAGAAAGGACGCAGAAAGAACGCCCTCCAGTGTAAAGGGGGTATAAGTTAGAATGTAATACCAGTCGCTCACTTTGCACTTGTTTTAACAAAGGAAGATCTGTTTTAACTTGAACAGGGAAGAATAACTGACAGTTATGCTTCCATGGTTTGATATACTATATCTGAGAGAAATATCATCAAAGCACAAGGTGGCAATGATTACTTACCGTCAGTAATGGACACCGGTTGAAGGTAAACACCGCACAGTTACCTTTGGTGTACAGAAGTTTCTATCGTTGTGTTCGAGCTTGAGATTTTTGTTCTTTCTCCTTTCAGCTGTGTATCCTCTAGTGGCCACAGGTTCTTGGTGAGGCTTTTTATGTCCTGGTGACTGTCTTTATAATCTGATAAGAATGACGTATGTGGTTCGTGTTATGTAACAGATGAAGCGGTGTGACGTATAGACAAAAGTAAAAGTTGTCGAGCACCGCTGCCTCAGCCACTCACAATGTGCCACTTACCTGTCAATGTTATCACCATCAAATTACCAGTATACCGTGCCCAGAGCGTTTTCCCGATTTACCTCAATACAGGCCTGCATGGTCGGGGTGGAGCTGAGGATCAGTTGATGTAACTGCCACCTCGGCCATTTTCTAATATAACGGCTTACGTATTTGCATAACTTGCCATCTAGCATTATTATTATTATTATTATTATCTTTTACCCAGTTGTCCAAATGACACCAGATGCTGGTGCATATGAGCAAGTAAATATATATTTGCCTCGATCTTTGTATAATTGCATTTGTTCAAAATTGAATAAGTAAGTTACGATAAAAAACATTAATACTCTGCACACCTGATTCAGTGATGTTTGAATGTCCAAAATATGTTTTAGGTTCGTGTTGTCCTCAGACTGCACCTGCAATCATAACTGGCGCAATCACACTTGCAATCTCAACTACTGCAATAGTAGCAAAAATGAATACCTATAGTTTAGCTGGCTACTCCATAACTTATACTGGTAATTATTTTAACTGCAGCGCCAATCGTATTTGTACTGTTGAGAATGAAAACCCTGGTAAAGTAGACGTCTTACATATCAACTGGATTTTTGTTTAATGCACACGTTTATTTCAATAAGGGTCCCTTTACACTGGACGGCGTCCTTTCTGCGTCCAGCAGCACGGCCCCATTTGAGAGTTAAAAATTATAATATTTTACGTGCCGACAACTGGCCGATCATTGAGCATTCATTCTGATCAGTGCTCGTGCTTCCTTATTAAGACCACAGCGATGCCAAATTTCATGGTCGCAGAGAGGACGCAGAAAGGACGCCGTCCAGTGTAAAGGGGGTATAACCAAATGACTTAAAGGGGAATAGTAGTCTCTGGGGGACCTAAATTCAATAAAATCCAACCTCCCTCTTCTCTCTAGATCAGCCCATCACGTTTTACCCACTGTAAGGTAAGCGTAAGCCTAATTTTTTGGGGGTAATTATCCAGTCGTGACGTCATTGCCTGAACTCTCTGACATTGGCCTATGTATTACAATGCAGCGTGTAATGCCTTTGCATGGGTACGACATGTTTACCTCGCAAATAAAGCACTTAACGATACAAAAAAAATGGAACACATTATCCTGGACTTTCGTGCATTCTGATCATGTAAAACATATCTTCTTAGTAGCGCTTGGACTATTTTTAAACGATTATTTAAAAGTGGCTACGCGGATCATGGACAGAGCTGAAACCAGGAAAACTAACTGTATTAAAAAACTAAAATGAAATACTGTAAGGCTTATTTCGGCGTTTATTTGCAAACGTACGTCTAGAGAGAAGAGGGGGTCGGATTTTATTGAAATTAGGTACCCAGAGACTCGCACCCCATTTATATAGATTAGATCGACCTACTTTAGGTCGACCTAACTCCCTGGGGGTTCACGCTAAATAGCTGTCACCCGGGCGGACACGAAAGTTAATTACCCCCTTACAGCTTGTAGTAGGCGGGACGGACATTTAAGTCAGATTATCTGAAAGTAATCTAGTGAGACTCCCCGCGGGGATAGATCGATCTAAAATCTATGGGAATAGAGCCTTGTATTCCACTTTAATTTTTCGCGAAACACTGCATCCTGAAAGAAATCCATACTCACTGAAAGAAGTCCTAAAACAGCCAGACCGTCAGATTTATTTTTCGCCGCGTTGAAATCGGCATACTTCGTCGAGTAATGAACAAAGTGCATCTGTCAAGCACAAGGCGACCGTTAATAAGGCTAAGCACTATTGAGCATACAGTAGGTACCGTATACGCCGAGAAGGTTTCGTAGATATATCACAGGGTAGTGTTTATATGGAGTTTGTTGGTGACTGCAGGCTAAGGCTCTATTCCCATAGATTTTAGATCGATCTATCCCCGCGGGGAGTCTCACTAGATTATTTTCAGATAATCCGACTTAAATGTCCGTCCCGCCTACTACAAGCTGTAAGAGGGTAATTAACTTTCGTGTCCGCCCGGCTGACAGCTATTTAGCGTGAACCCCCAGGGAGTTAGGTCGATCTAAAGTAGGTCGATCTAATCTATGGAAATGGGGTGTAAATCTTATATACATGTATGGTACACATGTATGTACGCACTTGCAAGCGGTACTGTTTCCCGTCGATGAAGTGTTCAGGACCTTTGCTGCTCGAATTCCCCCAATGCATGTGGGACTGGACCAGTTTGTACGGCTTGCTAAAAACATTGCTGTTAATGGAATAGTTTCCAAAACCTATTATTACTTGAACTGAACTAAGTTTCAAAATATTAAATCACCTTGAAATTCAGTGTGAATGGCCTTTGTCTTTATAATGTTTCTCTTTTTTATCATTCAACGATTTTCCACAGCATATATATTTTTATTTTTGGACATTTAAACGCCTACAATCTGGAGTTACAGTTTGATAGTTTTGGTCTGATTCTTACCAAACAAAATTGTCCTCAGAGATAAGGAATGTCAGGCAATCTACATCACACCAGTGACTTTTCATAAAAAAGGTTGTTCACCCGAAGAGCATCTTAAACTAATCCATCACCAAGAATGGAAAGAGTGAAAGATCTGGTAAAGGATTATAATATAAATATTGGTAATATGCATACAACGGAGAGTTTACCAAAGCGTACTAGAGAAGTATCATTAATGGTTCACTTGAAGTCAAAATTTTGCCACAAAACCAACCAAATGCCAACATGTACATGTAGTTTAAAACAGTATTGGTTAGGATATCGCTTCATATTACCCCAAAACGAAATTTGAACGGATATTTTCTGCTTACTTTCTATGGTGTATATAGCCAGGGCAGATAAGTTGGTCAGATAACTAGGTCAATATATGATCAAAATTTGACGAAGGTGCAGTTTAGAAGCTCTTTTATGGCTGATCGAGTGATTAATACGGTTTATCCCTTGATATGTCGACTTCATTTGAGTCGTATAAGAATCTACTGGTTGTGGTTTATGTGTGTTACTCGAATCCACGCTCGGTACTTGGATCCAAAATAACAGACAGTGCCATTATTGTACTGTACGATGTTCACATATATATGTACCGTGTAAAATATACGTGTACGTAGGGCCCTGTAGGTCAACGCCCCCACACTACATATTATTACTACAGGTACTGTATACGCTTCTGGTTGAGCACCAGACTCTATTATTTACAGTGATATGATAATCAAAATATAACTAAATTTTTGAAAAGTTTTGAGGAAGGAGGAACTGCAATATTCCAATGTACGAAAATTACTTCCAACTCAAAAATTCACTGTCCATTGCTGCTTGTAGTAGGCCCTTAATGATTTTAGAGACCACAGAAGTACTTGGGTGGTGGAAGTATTTTAATTCTGTTCTTTCCCTATGTCTGTCTGAAATGTAAGTATTTATACTTAGTGTCTTTTTCTTTACATCAGAAGACAAGGAAGATAAATGACACAGCTGTTGTCTTTCAATTTTAAAGGCGATTTTAGGTATGATACAAATAAGTTTTATTTATTTTCTTGGTGTCATCAAATAGAACCTTCTCTCCGATTGAGAAAACGAGTGAAACCTGATGCAATTTTTCCTTTTTTTTTCGAAATTACCTCGCTATTTAATTTGCTTATATGCTAGCTTCACCTTTTTTATTTCATTTGTTACAGTGTCTTCGTGCTAATTCACCAAACGTCTGTTGCAGTAAATTAGGACTGTCAGCTTCTTTAACAGTGCATTGAAATAAATGAAATATATAACTTTGTTTTTAACATGAGTTTATTTCATGTTAGTGTTCGTTGCAGAGGGTTACCTCCATGAAATTACCCCTGCGTTTGAACGATTGGTGAAACGTTATATGATGTTATTTGCTGACAGAGATATCATCACCAACATACCTAAGACAAACCACCGTTTTTTACATGTTGAATGTTTATCTTCTGCTTGAATATTTATCTTTTACTGCTTATTGTTAAAGATAAAATGCCATTCTCGTAAACTGTAATTAATTACATTCACATGAAAGTGTTGTAGTTTATTTACCTTTTATATTGAATTCTTTAGCTAGTTGATTTAGCGAAAATTGCTTAAAATGGCAGGTGCTAATATATAAATGAGTGTGTGCCACTGCAAACTTGCATCACTTTCTCTTAAATGGCGTTCTAATTTTGTATTTTTCTTTTCGTGTTCTATTATTTCATATTAAGTCATCTGGAGGACCATGCCTGGCCATTCTCACACCCTCTAAATTTAAGTAACAGCGGTAAATGTTGTAGGGAGATTTGTCATTTCAAAAAATAATAAGTGAATAAATTAAAGAACAGATAGACGATAAGATTATAAGGTCACTTCCTTGGCGTTTTTGATTTTTTTTAAACTTTGCGATTTCCATTCCGTTAAATTAATGTCACTTGACGCAGTTTTAACATGTAAGATTGCGGTCAGATCGAGTAAAATTTCCGCGTATAAGTGATAGATAATCCAAATTATATCGGTGATTTTTTTATTAAATATCCACATATATGCACGAATATCCTTGCATGTCTATCCCAAATGGAAATTCAAATTTTTATTTTAAGATTCAATTTCGATGTTTTAAATTGTGCTGACTATACGACAGATCTATATCAGCTTGAGGCCGACCCTAAATTTTATCACAAGTCTTTATTTGGTCATATTGCCTTGCTAATTATTTGAAAACCTATAATTAAGAGATTATTCAATTATTCAATAAGACGAAAGCGCATCAAGGCTGATATATATTTATTTCTCTGCAGGCATACCCTCACGCATCCAATAATTCGGTAAACCAATTTTTCGACATTTCGCTAAAATTTTGTTTACTGTGATATTTAATGTTTTAAAATAGTATCGCAATGGAATATTGCAAATGATAAAAAATTGACCTCATAACTTGTCAGTTGCTGCAACTTAACACAGACGTTTTTTTAACCCTGTTGATTATTTCGCACATGAAATTTCTGTTGAACTATCTTTGGTTTTTAAATAGCTTTTTTCATGTATGTTTCTTCGTTCGATTTTCATTTTTTACTCATGAAACTTAATTTTGGGAGTAAGTCAGTAATCAAGTATAAATGGAATGCTTTGGTTTCAGCAAGATAACAGAACAAAGCTTTGCTTTTAAACTAGTTCATTTTAAACAACCTGTATCCCATTAAAATCTATATTGGCAAATATATGACCGAAGCTGCTGACTCAGTTGTTGTATTCTTCCATATTCAAGCACTCCATATGGAGCATTTTTTCTGTGGTTCCAGAAACTAATCCACTGATGACACCTTCCTGGGCGTACAATTTTATGTAGGACTCCAACCAATCGACCGCTGTAGGGGAGGTTTCTGGAAACCAACCCTTCGCGTTGAAAGTGGAAGCTAATGCAGCAGCTACGCCAGCAACGTGGGGAGAAGCCATTGAAGTACCGCTGAGAGTTCTGGTCGCGGTGTTGCTTGTGTGATATGCCGATAAGATGCTGGATCCTGGAGCGTGTATGTCCACACATCCTCCCCAGTTGGAAAAGCTAGACTTGGCGTCGGAGGAAGTGGTGGAGCCTACCGTGATGGCGTCAGGTGCGGAAGCAGGCGATTTTCCACAAGCATCAGTGTTCGCATTCCCTGCTGCAACAGCCGAGAACACCCCGGCCTCCCTCAGCTCCTTCTGTGCTCTGTTGGAAGCAGCGGAGTAGCCACCCCCGAGAGACATGTTGACGATGGACACCTTCTTGTTTTGTAAAACTCTGTCTCTTACCCATTCCACACCTCTAATGACTCCTGCAGAGGAACCAGACCCCGAGGAAGACAACACCTTCACTGCGATAATGTTGGCATTTTTGGCAACGCCATAAGTGGTACCTGCCGCAGTGCCTGCTACGTGGGTCCCGTGGCCGTGGTCATCATTAGAGTCTAGGTTTCCGGTAATGGAATTAAGACCGAGTGTTACACGGCCTCCAAAATCCTGATGAGCAGCTAACACTCCAGTGTCGATGATGTAGACGTCGATAGAGGTACCATCTCCCCAAGCGACCATTCGGTCGTCATTTGGCGCGTTGTCCAGTCGATCCAGCCCCTGTCAATATAATTAATGAGATAATGTCTACCCTTTTGAAAGATCTTGGGTTGAGTTCACAACTAAATTCGTTACATAGTAAGTCTCAGTATGTAATTTGCTAATATTTCTTATTTTGGATATTTCTCAAAATTCAACTTACCCATAAGGCGCTCGAAACTTGACTGGTAACGCAATCGTCAGCATGGACTACGTTGTTTTGTTCAATTTCCTTGATTAAATCGGTATAGCCTCTTAAGGAATCCAATTCCCTGTAATGTACACAAATAATAAAATTAGCCAGCATTGAACACACACACACACACACACACACACACACACACACACATCTCTCTTAGTATATAAACCTATAGTAGATATGGTATGTTTTTCAAAGAAAATAATATGTGATCTGATATCAGAGGTTTAGAAACCCGTGCAACATACATTGTGACTTAGTCTCTTAGGGAATCAAATTCTTTGTAATATATACAAACAATTAAATTAGCTAACAATGAACACGCGCACGCGCACACACACACAAAGTGATCTCATCTCGCGTATCATTCACTGCCACTTACTCTTCTTCGACGTTATCAATTAGGACAAAGTCCGTTTTGGAGCTTAATTTCACCCGTTTGGATTTGCCTTTCAAACCACTCCTTTTCAACATTTGTTTTACTGAAAAATACAAAATAATTGCAAACTTAAATATCTGCATTAAAAAGACCCGAAGTTAGGATATTTAATATTAGTTGCTTATATTTTACCTCTTTACGTTAATACGTTTGTTCATAAGTATTAGCGTAACAATGATTTTAATGTTCTCAAAATACGCGCTAGTCTGTTCCACAATGAAAAAATGTCGTCACCAAACGTATACATTCAAATTCATTATCTCTGAAAAGTGTGATTTACACTTCATATGGTTGTTTTGGGACCCCCTTTCAACGAAGAATTTCCCGGTGAACGTTTTGTAAGAATTTTCCACCGTTGGTTGTACGTTGATTTAATGCAAATACATATATTTGAAATCTACCAGAAGTCCTTCTTTTTGAGCCGCCATTTCAAACCTAATCGACAGTCCCAGAATAAAGTGTATCTGAGGCGATTGATGTTAACCATCGTGCCAGTTGAACGCAAAATAAGAGCAGGACAAGGTACTTTAAAGCAAATGAAGTTTTCTCAAAACTCCAATTCGTAACTATCGTGAGATTTTGGTCGCACTCAAAACTAAGTGACGCTTCCAGCAGGCCACAGAAATTATTCTTTTTTTAACAGGTGAGACATTGCTTACGTTTGAGTAGACTACAGTTATTTTGGTCTAAACGTCTAATCCAAATTTGAGGCTATAGCCATTTTGTTACCGTCTCTGGTGTTTTATTCTGGTTTAGTGAAATTTTCGTTCAACTGCTAAGTTTTCTCTGGCTTTCGAACAGTCGTATGCTGCAAACATGACATCTTGTTTTTTAGAATTGCGCATTAGGCTGCAAATTAACTGCATGACGTCATGGCCAAAATTAATGATAAGATGTGATTTGTTGATAATTTTAGAGAAAGATAACACAGTATAATATGGTATTGACTATGGATAAGAACCCCCCCCCCCTTAATTTTTTTTTTATTATTTATTTTATCCATTTTACAAATTGACCTTGAATTGGAAAGCCCGTACATTTTGCATATAAGTCACTGTCTAATCCTATCTTCTCGTTTAAATCTGCACTGGAAACTTACCTCTCTTATTCCTAACATTTTCCTGAAGCGTGACGATATATGACTTTGGAACTCCCTCCCCTTGTGCTCCGGCTTTCACAAAACGCACTGAAATCATGACATAGAGACGGTTTCATCTATATTACTTTTCCATAAATGGCTTTTGATGGCTTCAAATGAATCTTAACCCAATAGTAGTATCACCTACTAGTCATGGCACAGACAAACTATCGTGAAAGCTATATACACAGTTTACTAAAATCACTTTCCTGTTCATTACGACCGAGTCAATAAGTGTTTTTTAATTGTACTTAGTGATACGGTAAAGTCAACTTTAAACTACGCGAAAAAGCTGTATATTACCTTTTCCACTTTGCTCATCCACCACTAGCTTGCCTTGTTTAGACAATTCCTTGCGTATCAAGTGGTCTCTCTCGTCATCGGACAGACCTTTGTCTAATTGGATACCACCTTGTTTCTTTTCATCTCCCTCTAATTTCCCTGATTCTTTTGGATCTTTTTCTTGTCCATCATCTTCTTCAGAGGTTTTAAAAGGAATCTTTTTTTCATCTTTTTCTGGTACAGGGAGTGCTACTCCGGGTGATGGTTTATCACCAGCTTTATTTTTTGCACCGCAAACGACAGCGACCACGGTCAGTGCTACCAATATAGCGAAAGTGGTCTTCATATTTTTCTGTGATGAGATTTTGCAAAAATATCCTGAAAAACATACAAAAAACGATTCAGCATTCTTTTCACTTCACTTTCTCTTTCTTTTGATTTGTAAAAAAAAATAACTTGCCTGCATCAGTGGCAGTGACAGCTCAAATTCTATCTACAGATAGAATACTGGTACCATGCATAAAGTAAAACCAACTGTGCCTGTTTGGACATTTATGTTTGTTCAGTAAGTTAGAATGTAATATCAAGCGTTCATTATGTACTTGTTTTAAGAAAAACGTCTGTTTAACTTTGAAGAATAACTGACAGCTATGCTTCCATGGTTTGATATACTATATCTGAGATAAATATCATTAAAACACAAGGTGGCAATGATTACTTACCGTCAGTAATGGACACCGGATGAAGGTAAACACCGCACAGTTACCTTTGCTGTGCAGAAGTTTCTGACGTTTTGTTCGAGTTTGAGATTTAGTTCTTTCTCCTTTTGAGTTGTGTATCCTTTAGTGGCCACAGGTTCTTGGTGAGGCTTTTTATGTCCTGGTGACTGTCTTTATAATCTGATAAGAATGACGTATGTGGTTCGTGTTATGCAACAGATGAAGCGGTGTGACGTCTAGATAAAAGACAAGATTGTCGAGCACCGCTGCCTCAGCCACTCACATTGTACCATTTACCTGTCAACGTTATCACCATCAAATTATACCGTGCCCGGATTTGCTTCAATAGAGGCCTGCATGGTAGGGGTAGGGCCGAGTACGGCTTTACGCTGAGGCAATTTCTTTAGTCCCATATTAAAAATTTTAATCGACCAATTCATTAAAAGCCTACTCATGGCTGATTTTTTATGCATCGGGTCTTAAACCCAGGATGTTTCAGTTTAGGGAAGTGGAATTTTTCTTCAAATCAAGATACCTTGAGAAAATGTCCGGGAAATTTGGTAATTTGGTAAAATCCTGTTTTTTCTTGAAACTTACTTGATGTTTATTCAAACTGGACAAAATTGATAAGGAAGCATCCTTGCATATGATATCCCCTTAACTGTGAACTTTTAACCAATACTGCCTGTCAGTCCAACTACAGTCATGAACTATGTGCTTTTTTTATTTGGGAGAAACAGCGCCAAGATAACTTGTTGCTTAGTTCAAACTCTTCTGAACTTTTTAATTTCCCGTTTGAACACAGGCGAGCTAGCCTTCCGTGGGGCACCACGACTGGGTGGTCACCGTGGCTTGCATGCTACAGCGGTGCAGAAAATAACAGCCCATGCGATTGTTTGCGTCCACTGCCATGAACCTTCACTGACGTTACTGTTGGAGTGAGTTTGATTTTGGTCACGATAAAACAACGTTATTATTGTTATTATTATGGTTTGCCGCGTGTGACTACCTCTATGAATATTTGTCCGATTTCTGCATCAGAACCATTAAAGAAGGTGCAATTTGGGAAGTGAATGGAAAATTAGATAGAAAACGAAACTGTGCATTATAAGATAACCTTGGCTGGATGGTCTACATATGTATGTACATGCATGTATAACAAAGAGCCTGGTGAGAACACATCAGTTTTTAATGCTCATTCTGCCGGGACCCGTCCATCGAGTTTGAAGTCATCTTTCGTGGTTTATTTTCAGCACTGTTTGATCCTCTTGTAGACTACAATATTGTTTTATTTGTACATGTAAGTAATCATATTATAAGCAATACGTGTCGGCATGATGAATAGCTGTGGACCTACCTTCTGATATCATGGGCTTCTAAATTAGTAAACAGAATTAAAGAATAATGAATGAAGAATAAAGAAAAATTAAAGAATAATGTAGGCCTGGTGTTAGGTGGTGATACCACTACATCTCAGTTAAGTGATATCAGCGGTACTAAGAAATGGTACGTAGTATGGAGGTCTTTGTACTTCCAGGCTTACAATAGCAAAATTTCTTATTCTATACAGATAAATTAAACTAAACAAGATTTGCGTCAAGAATGCCTATGGACGCGCGTCCCCGTCCTATCCCCCATCACCTGATAAGAGCTTATTTAAAAACGTTCATCATCCCCGAGCCTTCTGAATACCTAATTGTGTAATTACCCATTACTGCGTGGCTCCAATCCGTCTCCTTTTTGCACTTTTGGCCCAAGACTAACCGCAATGTTCATGACTCGACCTTGTTACCCGCTACCAGGGTCAGAGATTGATTTTTCACTAGATATTAACAGATATGTCTTTGGTTGCATAGATGGCTAATCTCTGCCTCAGCAAAAATATCCACAGAATAAAAATTGCGGCCTTTGTGGAAGTACCAGTACTACCTTGTTATAACTTATTAAGGATCACTGTGCAGCGTCACTATGCACTTTGGGTTTTATTTCGAGGAATTAAGCGTGGCTTACAGTTATTTTTAAAAAGGAAAATGCATCTGAATATCATCAAAAATAAAATTTTGACGGAGATGATGTTTCTATGCACATAGCTTATGTTTCTTTGCTACACAGTATATACAGGGGTGGGTAAAGTCAGAGTTCCACTCTCTTTCGGACAATGGTCATGTCCGTCACCTAAGGGGTCTTGAATGGCATCTGGCATTCTTGATCAACAAACTTCTTAGGACTAACATTTTAATCTAATTATTTAATACGATACAGCAAAGTATTTTTGTTTTTAAGCTCCCAACGTTTTAAATTAATCTTAGTTATATGAGGTTCTGCTTTTGCCTAGGATAATAATTATATATATTAAATAAGAAATTTGCTACTCTATCATTTTAATGTATACGGCGCACTGACATTTTAATGAAATTCGACATATAAGAATTAATAAAATCTCATATGCAGTGGCAGTGTTTTCTTTACATGTGCTAAAGGTCATTTTCTGGGACAACATGAATCACTACCAGATAATCAACAGCTAAAAGTGATGAAGATCTAGTTTACTGCATGATGTACAAGTCTGCCAATAACGTGCAGTGGAACGATCAACTAATGAGCTGCCTGTACTGACGCTATTGGCGTCAACAAAGAAACATGGCACTGATGTCCTGGTAAACAAGCCAAGGGGGTGTAGTGATGATTATTATTATTTATCATTTTTTTTTCTCGGATCTTGGTATCCTCTAATTGTTTGCTCACTCTGAACGCCTGGCTTCACAGAGAATGTACTGGACGTATTACAAAAGACAAAACAGCATCTGGCGGTTCTATATGATTTTTAAAACAATTAAATTTGAACTCGAATTACGACATTTGAAATAAACTCTACCTACCCAGTAGAACTAAACGTGCCAAGGGAATGGTTTTTTCTGGATCTTGGAATCCTCTGATTGATTTAAATTGTTTGATCAATCCGGACACTTGGCTTCACAGAGAACGTACTTGACGTATTACCTTATTTTGCTAGGTTTACCAATTATATATTATATGTTCAGCTCAGTTCAATGCATATCATTTTATTTTCATTCATACCAATACCCTAGGTGCTCGAATATGACTTTGTTCAGAGAGAGGAAAATAACCAATAGATTTTAATGACAAAGGTAAACAAGGTCCTACACATGATTTTTAAGCTCAAAGAAACTGTGAACGTTATTTTGAGGTTTAGACTTCTTTTAATGTGTAAGATAAAATTCCGCTGAACTGCTGGGGGAACTATCATAATAAAGATAAAAAAAAGCACTAGTGAAAGAGAATGAACGTTTATGTAAAAGCGTGTTTATAAGGATGTAGAGGATATCGTGCACACACGCACACACACACACACACACACACGTCCGAAATACTTTTTACCGAAAGCCCTCGGTGATGCACTATAACACCAACTAATAACTGGTCATAAGGTACAGTGAATAAACTAGCTTTTACAGACTCGCATTACTCATCAAACATAAAGCTCAACAATGTGACTAGGCCCCATTTCAACACTATACGGACCAACGTGACAATGTTTTATATGAATAATTTGGCTTTTACTTAAAACGCCTGATTTTGTCTACATTCGTTGACTTTGTCTAAATTCGTTGAGATATTATTTGCATCCAATTATGTTATCATAATTTGAAAGCTTTATCTTCATCATTTAATCTAAAGCGCTGTTTGCAGCGGATAGGTGCATCAACGAGATTGGAAAGATAGCATACACACGCAAGTCCTACAAATAATTGTTATTTCCATGCAAAGCCTACCAGTGCAAAGCAAGTGCTCTAGCCGGTACGTCACACCGTCCGCACCTTTACAAATGAAAAGTTCCATTATCATTTGCTGTGTGGTGAGAAAACTTTCCCGCTAAACCAAATGCATGTACAAGATATCTTTTTTTATTTATTCGCCATCAGGAAATAGTTACTTACTAAGGGGGAAACAGCAGCCATTTTTTAAACGAAGTGTATTCAAGAGAACGAAAAGGAGGCAAATGTCATATAATATTATTTTCTATTCTTACGAAAAGAAAAGGAAAACTACAAATTACAAAAAATACCTGCTGGCCATTATTACAAAAAATACCTGCTTTCTGGTCACTTTCAAGATTCCAAACCCTATACATGAGATATATTGAGAGTTATCCATTGCGGGTATGAGTAATCAAAAGCTTTTTAAAATTGTCCAGAAATGAGTATTTCTCACCAAAACTGTGGCTGGGTATTCCAATATTGTATTTATCTTAAATACATCTATTGATTCCAGGTTTAATAATAATAATAATAATAACTAAAGCTGAAAAGTTACAATTCTCTTTGCACGCTATCTTATTCTGATAAGACAATGCCCTTCCGGATTTTACTTTTTTTCGTGCTACACCATTAGTTAAAAATTGCTTTATTTTAGTTTGACAATAGCTCATTTCCATCACAATGCCTATTGATATCAGAACCTCATACCCTAGGTTCTAGATTCCGGTATTGCCAGCTCGATCTTGATTTCATATATAACCCATATCAACAATACCTAGTAAAAGCGACTCCATCACAAGGTATGTATTTAACAAGCTAGCTTTTACGTTGCTCTGACACTCAGGGTAGAACCTCAGGGATGGGATACAAGACGACAGGAGTCAATTATTTTCAGTGTCCATACCCCTACCCCTATTCAAGTTTCTGCATATATGACAAATGTTAGATAGAAAATGACACCGACAATAAAAACAACGCATATAATTATTATCATGTAAATTAACTCAGAACAACAGCTGTGCATTGGACGCATTCTCCATGTTAACTGTTATGTCATTATCCCCGAGGAGGCAATATTTGTTTTTTACGCTTGTCGGAGTCTCTAAAATTTTCAGATAAAATTGAATAATTAAAAGAATCTAACTGAGAAGAGAATGAAATAAGAAATTACACCATGGAGTCATAATTCATTTCAGAGTTTACCTCTCACTTTACTATTGTTATTTTCAGAAGCGTTATGGAAGTGACTACGTTGGTTTAGGTTAATTGTGATCAGGCTGCCAGTTTGCACTTTGGGCAATTTCGTTTTTAATGCTTGAAATAAAAAGGTAAGATAAATCACATTAACTGTTACCAGATCATAAATTGTATTCAAG